AAGTTCAGGAATAATTTGGGGTTGGCAAAGCGATGCCCACATCGCCCACTCCCAACTTCGCCCACCCTCTGATTCACAGCCCTGGCAGCAGCTGCGGTATGTTTGTGCGAAGCAACAAGTAAAACACAGCATTACAGGGTATACCATGCCGTGTGCGGCTGGTGAGCTATGTCTTTTGCAAGGACGGACGCCGGTAGCCCCTGACGGTCACGAATGTGCCTTCTATGCTTGATGGTTCATTTTCGGCGAAGCTTGGGCCTCTATTTTTTTTTGTCATGCATGTGTTAGCTTGTGTAAGATTGTAGTCTGGAGTGGAGGGGGCTGGATAGAAGCGAACTTGTTATATGTGACGAAAATAAAAAAAAATCCATATGGACGGGGCGCTTGATCGAACATCGTTTAACTATACGGCCCCGTTGCTGCTCTACAATAAATGCTCACCCAAAGCGGGGCCATGACACTGAAATTGCGCACCCCTGCTACCTCCAGCCGGCATGTTGTAGGCCTTCTTCATGCCCATATAAGTAAGCTCTGTGTAGAGTTTAGATGCATACTTCAACAACTCAAGATTTCTCAATAAGGCCCGGGTACCGGCCTTATTGAGGAATTGTATATCCTTTTTAAGACCGATATCGGCCTTAGCAAGGGACGTTCTGAATAAGGCCGGGTGCCCTGTTTAAGGCCGGTATTTTGCCGTGGCACATGGCGGCCTTAAACAGGGACCTCGACTGTACTGAGTATTCGCGAAAAAGAAAAGAAAATCACATAACGGTGGGGAAATTAGACTAGACGATGGACGTCCGTCACTCTGTCCGTGACCAGACTCGATAAATACCCAGCAGACTGGAGCCCATTTCACCATCTAGGCACCAAATTGAAATCTAAGACTTGCGCACAAAAGTGATATTGTGCCCGAGCTGTCCCAACTACCTTTTCAATCCGGGGTCGGTGCGTCGAGATAGCATAGCATCTGTCTGTACTTCGGGCAGTATCAAAGAAAAATGTCGGATTCACTTGTCCCCGAGGTGGAGGAGGAGGCTTGTTTGGAACCAGACGTACGTAGGCTCACGCAAAAGACATCACCCGGAGCCATAGACAATGGGGGAGGGAGACACACACCACAGCGAGAGTTTGGGAGAGAGCGAGACGGGAGTAGGGTGTGCCCTTGCCATGTACTTTCGTTGTTGTTGTTGTTGTTGTTGTTGTTGTTGTTTTTGCCGTTGTCATTATATTTAAAACCGTTGCGTTCTCTCTACCCAGTAACTTTCCTCTGTCCGTACTAGTCTGACACGTGACGCTGTCGATTCCCGTGGTCACAGGCTTACTTACAAAAAGGTACATGATACAGTTTGGGACACTCCGCTCGCCTCTACACGCTACGCGAGGTAGCCATACACTGGAAAGAAGAACGAAAGAAAAAGAGGAAGAGCAGACAGAGAGAAGGGAAAAAGAAAGACAAGTAACACACTGCTGCTAGTTAGCTATCGGCGGAGGAAGCGAGAGGAGGGATAGTCTAGTCGTCCACTCCGAGAGCGCTTCTTGGAGAGAGGCACAACACACCAACAACACACACACGCTGACGCTGCTGCCCATCACCATTGGTGCAATATGTTTTGCTGCACGCCTCTCTATATTGTGCGCGAGGGTCTAGTGTGCCACCTGTCTCGTCCGTGCTAGTCTAGTAAACCATCACAGTGGGCTGATGGTGATGAACGCCGCCCCCCCTCACTGACTGATGATTACTACCCACCCTCTTTAGCTGATGATGAGCGCCCCCCCCGCTCCCTAGCTGATGATGATGAGCACCACCCTCCCCCCTCTGGCTGATGATGAACACCATCTCCCCTCTCTAGCTGATGATGAGCCAATGGTAGCAACGTTACGACACACGAGCCTACTGCAGGTACTTGTTTCATTCTAAACTTGAAATACAGTATACAAGAACTATTTACTTCCCGATATTGTATGTATTTATTTATTTATTTATTTTGGCCTTCCGACAATTGCAGATGTACCTCAGAAAAATTTCACTTGATGTCTCATACTCTACATGAATATTAAACCAATACGAAGTACAACAATATATGTAGGACTTATTTCTACT